TGGAAGCAAGACTTATTTCCAAGCTTTCTCGATGAGCGCCGATGCTCAAAGTACCCTGAACGCGATCAGCTCGGCAAACGAGCAAATCGCATCGGCAAAGAAGATTGTTATCGTTGGCGGAGGTGCAACAGGCGTGGAATTCGCGGGCGAAGTTGCTGAGCATCGCAACGGCAAGCCAGGATGGTTCAGCAAGGTGCAGCCAAAAGTTGACGTTACGCTGATCACATCGGACAAGCAACTTCTCCCCGGACTCCGCCCTGCTATCGCCAAGATTGCAGAGCAGAAACTCAAAGCGCTCGGTGTAGAGGTCATCTACAACACGCGAGTGGTCGATTCAACGCAGACAAAAGATGGTCGCACGGCGCTGACCCTCAAGAACGGTGGCAAGCTTGAAGCAGACCTCTACGTTCCCGCTTACGGCGTTCAACCAAACTCGTCGTGGCTGCCAGATCAATTGCTCAATGAAAAGGGCTACCTCGTAACGAACGACTCCACCCTTCGCGTCGACATCGCAGGCCCCCGCGTCTACGGCTTCGGCGACATCGCATCATATTCGCGCAACAACTACTGGGACATTAACCTGGCTCTGCCTACCCTAGTCACCAACATCAAGCGCGACCTGCTCTCTTACAACCCCATGCTTCCAGAGGCCAAGCCCAAAGGCAAGGACAGAGTGTACACGGCTAACACGACGGAGTCTATGGTTGTCCCCATCGGTAGCGGAGGCGGTGTTGGTGCCGTTTTTGGATGGAAGGTACCTTCATTCTTCGTGTGGGTTCTGAAGGGGAGGGACTACATGTTGGGAATGAGTGGGCTGCCGACGCTGAATGGGGACAAGGTTAAGAAGGAGGTCAAGTGGACGAAGGAGGAGGCTGCGATCTGAGTTTGACTGTCTGCATAGTGAATTTTCGTATTTTTCATAGCCTGCGATGTTCCCGTATTCCTTGCAGTTGTAGAGTCCTGGTAATGCTAATAATACTTGATATCAAATGTGCTTTCCCAAGACTCTTTCCAGGTTGTGTGTTATGAATGGTGACTGCGTGCGGAGAAGGATGCAACGCGATTGGTTTCGAGCTCGCTCCACGACGGCGCGCTCCGCGTCGACATCACTCCTTTCCACCCTTGGACCCCACGTACACGGCGCAAATGCGGGGTGAGTAGGACATCAAATGGATTTCGTACGTCTTCGCCCTGCAGCAGCTATGGTTCGCGCACTGACGACAGCAAGTGGGTGAGGCTACTCGGCGGCTCGTCCCAGAAGAAGAAGCAGGCCGCCCCGAACAACCCGCAACAGCGGCTGGCACGCTTCCGCCAGCGCTACAATCAGATACTGGTACGCCTGGCTGAGTAACCCGAAATGCTGCGCGTCTGACACATGGCAGCAAACATGGCAGAAGTCGACCAACCTCGCCCACGACCGCGAAGCCCTGGGCAACATCCGGCGCGGCTTCCAGGCCCTCACAGCCATCCTCAGCGACGAGTCGCGATCCCCCGCGCCGCACATGTGCCTCCAGTTCGCCGCCGCCCAGCAGATATACACGGCCGTCTCCAAGATCGCGGCTACGGCACACGACGAGGGTACCGTTAGGGACGCCGTGGCCTTCTACAATGCCCTCATCGACAGCGAGGAAGAGGACTTCCTCGAGAACGACGTCTTCGCCGCCTCGCTCATGAACTTCATCGACCGCACAGTCGGGTCTGGCAGCATGGGCATAGGAGAGGACATCGAGGCCGACATCGTGGAGCTGCTCTTCGGCATCGCAGCCAAGATCCGGCTACAGCCAGAGATTCTGCATGTCTGGTTCACGACCACATCCGCAAACAGCGAGGGACGAGTGCTAAATCCCAAAACCGATTTCGCCGGCGTCACACAGAAAGAGGACTTTCCGTTGTGCTATCAGCTCATCGACCATGTCCACCACGAAGGCCGTATCGGGGATTTCGCACGCACCGGACTGCTGTACATATTCGAGTCTGCGTCCAGGTCCATGGATCTGGAGCAGTGGATTGTAAACAGTGATCTGCCTACGCTGATGGCGACCGGTCTGGGAGCACTATACAGCCAGATGAGCAGGTATGAAGTGTACCGAACCCGAGACAACGAAGCTAACATTGTCCAGAAAGCTGTCGATACTCCACCCCGCGCATGACCTGCCTCCTGTCTTACTGCTCTCCGACTACACCGAGATGCAGCCCAATCCACAAGCAGAGAACTTCTTCACACCCGACTTCCAGAGCCATCTTCTCACCTTCTTGTCTTACCTTGCCTTTTGGCAAGATGTGCTCGAGCATTGCAGATCTCTGGATGTTAGAGTTACATTGATTGACCACTTTCAAGCTTTGTTCCTCCAGCAGCTATTGTGTGTTACTCTCATATGTCTTCAATATCATAGCTGACTCCGTGCAGATACCCTTCACTGCTTGAGTCCTCCGACGCCGATGGCGGTTCATCCGTCGCAGTACTTACGTACCTTCGCCATATACTAGATGCGCTTGACCACCCCGAGCTCGTGCACATGATGCTTCAGTATCTACTCGCACTCCTGGACTACGCGTCTACCACGACACCACGGTCCCCCGCAGCTGTCAAGCGCCGTCAGTCACTTATGCTGCTTACTGCATCGGATAAGGATGAAGACAAATTGAACCCATCCTTGTTTAATCTGGTCGACTTGGTCTTGGGAAGCACCGCATCGCGCAATCCACAGACGGTCATTGCATCATTGAAGTTGACGACTGTGATACTGAGCAAAAGCCATGGATACGCCCTCGGATCTCTCGTCAAGGTGATGAACTTGCATCATAAAGAACACAATAGAACTGTTGGATCCCTGAACAAGGAGCTTGAGCTGTACCTAAACCTCGCCATCGATCTCGCCGGCTTGGAAGGTGTTGATGAAGCGTACGAGAACTATCTAAAAGATACTCTGAGTTTGTTGGAGTCACACCCCTGTTCTTTGAAGACCATCGCTTTACCCGCGACGTCTTCGAAGAGTCCAGGATACTTCGACTCGACTGAAGCTTCAGCTAGGGAGGTGGATCCACATCAGTTGCTTCCAGAAGATCCGCTTTTCCAGTCTCTCATGGATTTACTTCTGAGGTTCCTTACGAACGATGTCGAGACAAACCTGGCGCTTACTGAGGCATTGATTACGCTCGGCACCTGCTCACAACTGCGTCTAGAAGGATGGTTATCCGTGGATCCTGCCGACTATCACTTCGAGAGCGACAGTCCTGAAGTCGAGTCGTTCACGAATGACAACTTGCGCGCCATGTTCCTGGCAGAAAGGTTTCCGAAATGGGAGTCCTCTGCTACTCCTCAACTGTTTGCATGCCTGCAACGTCTCCAGGCGCAAGTCGATGCCCTGCGCAGCGATATCAAGGACTGGGATGAGCACGTCGCGAACCGTAAGCATGCCTTCCGCTTCCATCAGGATCTCGTAGAGGAGTCAAAAATGTCGACGCCTCAGTCAAAGCCTGCGCGACCTCCCTCAGAAACTCCAGCTGGATCTTGGACGCCGCAGATACCACAACACGTACGTAACCAACCGACGACGCCCTCCAGAGCGCAATCTCCGAGAGGCAGGAAGGAAACTCTATCTGAAGCAAGGAACACCCCCACTACATCACCCGCACCATCAAGATATGGAGGTCAGACACTCGTCGGTTCACCCGCCCGGGCGTCATCTCCTATGTCAGGAACATACGCAGTACAACAGCCTTCTTTGATGTCCGACGTCGATGCTAGCATATCACAGATCAGGATGAGTCAGTTCGGCAAGAGACGCATTCGCTTCCGCCGGCCGGCTGGATCGAAGGAGGTAGAAGTCATGCTATCGAAGTTCCAACCACCACCAAAGGAACCTTCTGATGACGCGGCGACTGGTGCTGAGGATACAGAAGACGATGATATTCGAGAGGCGAGCTTGCTGCACATCATCACAAACGTGGTCATACTGCAGAACTTTGTGTTGGAGCTGGTTGCGTTGATGCAGGTTAGGTCAAGCCTGTTCAATGAGGTCAGATTCATCTGATTGTAGGTTTGCCGAGGGAAGCGTTTGATGTAGTAAGAATATACCCATTTTCATCTCTTCTTCAGTACGTCCCGAGGAACATATTGTAGACCAGTCAAGATTACCTAGGCATCTTCCGAGGCATCTTCGCGCACGTGCACGTCGGCCGCTTTCGGGATGGGCTCTGCAGCGGAGAGTTTCCGACAGCCCCTCCAACGTCATCTTCCACACTTTCACATGTCGATCATTCCACCCCTCATCCATCATCAGACGCTCGCCTACACAAGCTTGTGAAAGCGCGAACCCGGAAACACGCGAGACTCGAATTCAAGCATAACACCAGGATTGCATGTGCTATCATCCGAAGCAGGCCATGATGAACGGCCAATGGCTTGGGCAGCTGGGCAACTGTGGCTCGGCAACGTAATTCCTCGAGCCGATCGCCGGCCGAACGACATCAGCGCATCGTAACTTCCGCTCGCCCACCCATGGCGAAATCCGGGGTTTGCCAAGGTACCCCATTGTTTGCCAGCTGCCAGACAAACGCGTGCCAGTCGACACTAAGACACGCGGTCTGGGCTCACGCAAGGGCCGAGGCTGGCGGAGCAAATGGGTGTTTGTCCTCACACCCGCGGGTAGTCAAGGCAGGCTTCTGATCAGCGATGTATGGAATATGACTGAATGGTTTCCTTGCGCTCGTGCTTTTCTCGCTTTCCTAAACCTCATTTCGAGTCTCCTTCTTGATACCCGTCGCATAGCTGTTGCTATTGATTAGCTTGCTTGCTCTCCCTCTGTCGTCATCTCTAGAAGCCGAGGTTTCTAAAGCGCATTACAGCTCTCGTTCAGAAAGTTGGGCTACAGCTCAGGATCGCTCCTTCAGTGTCACAATCTCGTGTAACCCCACGTGCTCGTGCCTTGGACGCCCTTTGGTCCCAATTCGTCGCAGCAAACACCTTCCTGGACACTTGCGCTCCAACTCTACACAACATGTCTGCGAAATCAGTACAAGGGCCTGGCGGCAAGAAGCCCGCGTCGGCGGCCACAAACTTGATCGGTAAGCCTCAAATTTGGAATTTGGAGGGTATGCAACCGCGATGGCAGGATACTGACGCGACATGAAGCCGGTGGTGGTGCTGGAATGATGGAGGCACTCGCATGTCATCCTCTCGGTGAGTTACAAGTCCCCAAGCCTACGTTATCTGCGCATCAAGTCTAATTGGATATCAGATACGATCAAAGTCCGCATGCAACTATCAAGACGAGCTCGCGCTCCAGGAGTACGTCCCCAATCATACTTTCGAAGCGGTCGGCATATACTATCCAGAACGTCACTGATTGGTGTACATTACAGGCAAAGAAGCGCGGGTTCATTACGACCGGAACTGAGATCGTGAAGAGAGAGACAGCATTAGGTCTATATAAGGGATTAGGCGCCGTTCTCACAGGCATCGTCCCGAAGATGGCCATACGCTTCACAAGTTACGAGTGGTATAAGCAGATGTTAGCGGACAAAGAGGGCAATGTCGCGTCAAAGTCTACATTTATGGGTAAGTTTGAAGCTCGCGGAATCGCAAGGCGCATCTTTTCGGAACAGAGTCTACTCAAGAATGACCGAATACTAACACTTTACAGCTGGTCTTGCGGCTGGTGTCACGGAGGCCGTTCTCGTCGTCACACCTATGGAGGTCGTCAAGATCCGTCTTCAAGCGCAGCACCACTCGATGGCCGATCCGCTCGATATACCCAAGTACCGAAACGCCGCGCATGCCATGTATACTGTCATCAAGGAAGAAGGTGCAGGCGCATTATGGCGTGGTGTCTCGCTCACAGCGTTGCGCCAGGGAACAAACCAAGCAGCAAACTTCACCGCGTACTCGGAACTCAGAGCACAATTACAGAAGTACCATGGCACAACAGATTTGCCGGGCTACGAGACGAGTTTGATCGGTCTGATCAGTGGTGCTGTTGGTCCGTTTACGAACGCGCCGATCGACACTATCAAGACGAGGCTGCAGAAGACGCCTGCGGAGGCAGGTCAAACTGCTATCCAGAGGATAGTAAATATCGGAAAGTAAGTCTTCGGGCGCATCCAACTTCCGAGTGTTAGCTGACAATTCACAGCGACATGTGGAAGCAGGAAGGTATCCGCAGTTTCTACAAAGGTATCACGCCGCGTGTGATGCGAGTAGCCCCCGGCCAAGCTGTCACATTTACCGTGTACGAATATCTGAAGGGTGTGTTGGAGAAAGGAAGAGAGATGCTCCCTGGTGGGGCATATGAGGAGTGAGCTTGCATTGTGTTCCACAGTCCGTTGAAGAGCGCCCTTCGATAAGCATAGGTTGATTTCCAAGCATGTTGAAGCCTGTAATTCATGTGAAATACAACAACGAATGAATTTCAGAAACGCCACTCAGGGACCAGACTGCATGATGGAAGCAGGGCTGCCAAGGTGCATCGGCCGTCCAGCCCACCTGCCCCACTATGGTACAGCATCACCGCTGGTTCGACGTCAGTGTACACGTTGAAATCAGTGCATTCAACAACATTGCAGCCTCTTCTTTGAGTGTCCCGACAACCACAGAATATAGTGCAGTAGAGACTTGCCAAGATGCAGTCTGGTATCTCCGGTAACGATCTTCCAGCGCGTTCCAACCTCGCACCCCACTAACAACCCCCATAGCTTCCCAGGAGCTCAAATCCGCCGTCGGCAGCCTCATAACCTCAAGCTCGCAACGCGGAATCCTAGCCACAATCCAAAACGAGACCATCATCCCTAGCGACACCATATCCTCGTCAGCATCGACTTTCCTCGCCGACCTCTCCAATCTCCAATCCCACATCCAGCCCAATGCCGCACTCTACCTTCTCCTTCGCCGCGCCGACTCGCTCTCCTCCCCCGACAAATCCCTCGTAGCCGTAACATACGTACCCAATGCCGCGCCGGTACGCCAGAAAATGCTTTTTGCATCCACGCGCCTCACTCTCGTGCGTGAACTAGGCGGAGAGCATTTCAGCGAGAGTGTCTTCACAACCGAAGCATCAGAGCTCACACCGGAGGGCTGGGAGAAACACATTGCGCATACAGCGTCTGACAACCCACTGACAGCGGAGGAACAATCGCTGCAGGATATCAAGGCTGCCGAGGCCCTGGAGAGTAGAGGCACACGCGGCCAGGGTCTGGCCCAAGGAGGCAGGATCGCTATTCGGGCTGATGATGAGATTGGCGGTGCGTTGAAGAAGTTGGGACAGGGTGGAACGGATAACCTCGTGCAGTTGCGCATGGACGGCGCCTCGGAGACGCTTCAGCTTGTGTCTTCTTCGTCAGCGACGCCTTCGACCCTCTCCCGCGCTATCGATGCTAAGGAGCCGCGGTACTCGTTCTACCGTCATGATGACGCTGCTGCGAGTATCGTGTTCATCTCGACGTGTCCGAGCGGAGCGAAGATTAGGGAGAGGATGCTGTATGCAGCGAGTAGGGGCAATGTGGTCAGTCTGGCGCAGAACGATGGTGGGCTCAAGGTGGAGAAGAAGATTGAGGCAACGGACCCGGATGAGATCACTGAGCAGGTTATCCTGGACGAGTTTAAGGTGGAGAAGAAGGAGGAGAGCAAGGGATTTGCGAAGCCGAAGAGGCCTGGACGGCGGTAGATGGTATAGCAGGTATGAAAGTGAACAACACGATGGGCGGCGAAAGCTCTCATCAGAAGCATAAATATCAAGATGACAATGGATATCATTCGCATCATACTGCACAAGTTCGACTGGCACTGTGCTATTATCTACTCTCCGTTCCTCAAGAAACCCCGGTTACCATGCGGCCTCCTCTCCATCTTCTTCCCGAACCTAACGCCGGGTTTCCCTGCCTTCTTGTCCATTTCGCGCCCCTTCAACCAGTGTTCACGTACGTTCTTCGTATTCCTGTTGACCTTGGGCGGCAGCACCCGGTTCTGCTGTGCCAATACCGCTACGCTGAGCTTGCCCTTCTTCACATCCTTCGCTGGCTTGTCGACGCGCTCCAGGAACTTGATATGGTGGTTGAGCTTCTCCTTCCTAAGTTCCTCCTCTGTCTTTCCGCGGCGCTGGGGCGGTGGCGTGGGAGGGCGCTGGTCGTCGATGGTCTCGAGGAGGGAAGCGGGCAGGAGACCGTTGGATACGTCGATGTCCATGCGCGACGCAACTTCTGGCTCTTTGTCGAGGGGACCGGCGGCAGCCTTTGCTTCCTTGGCAGCTTTCTTTGCCAATTTCTTTGCCTTCTTCTCCTCACGCTCGCGCTTTGCAGCTTGTTGAGCAGCAACGAGTTCCTCGCGCGCTTGCCGCTTGGCCTGCTCCTTTGCTTGCTGAGACTTCTGCGCGCGGTCGGCTTCGGCTTGCGCAGCTCGTGCTTTCGAACCTGCAGCGGCTGTGGTGACTACCTCGGGGGCTTCGTCGTCCGAATCGCTTGCTTCGTCCTGGTCGACTTGGCTTGTTTGCGTTGGGGGTAGTGACTCGATGGGCTGAGAAGCTTCATATCGCTTGTGGCCTTGCTTGATCGCAACGGGCGAATCTTGCGACTCGGCAGGCTCCTCGCTACCAAAGCGTCTATGCGTCTTTTCAGGTTGTGCTGAAGGAGGCGCGTCGCCTTGCGAGGGTATAGGAGCTGTGCTGCTCTCGTACGAGGACGTTGGAATCTCGTCAGGGAACTTGGACGGCGTCTCTACAACCTTCTTCGGGCGGCCTCTGCCTCTCTTGGCTGAGCCTGGTGCTAGCGTCTGGCCATCTCCCGTCTTAGCCTTGGGTGTAGGTGATCCCTCAGGTTGCTTAAATGTTGTGGCGGGCGTCGCGTATACCGATCCTGAACCTGAACCAGGCTGCTGCGCTGGTGTGTAAAAGGACGGATTTTGTGAAGTTGCTGGCGCCTCTTCCCTGCCTTCACCGAAGCTGTCCGTGGCCGTCGAATCATCCGGTGACTTCCTGCTGACTACAACGTGGGGGCTCGATCGGCGTCGGAGTGGCAGAAATTCATCCTGTGTCGGCGTCTGAGGGTCTTGGGTCGCAGGCGCGGCGGCGACAGCAATTGTGTCTGAGACATCCTCTACGGACTCTTGCGAAAGTCCTTGTGAAGGCGCATCCGAATCGGCGGTCTGCTTGGCAGATCTCTTCTTGGAGGACGACGTGGGCGCAGACTTCCTCTGCCTTTTCGTTTGTGTCGGCGTCTCTAGCGACTCGAGTTCTCGCTTTCCTGCGGCTTTCCTTGTCGAGCTGCGCGGCGTCGGTGTCGGTGCGCCTGGCGTCTCTGTTCCGCCTCGTGTAGTGACCATTGCGCCTTCGTTGCTGTGGGTTGATACGCGTCGTGTGCGAACCGCGACTGTTCTTGTCGTTGCTGCGTTGGTGGATCGCGCGATGTGGAAAAGATTCTGGCGTGCCAAGATTTCGCGGCCATTGCGGACCCCCGAGACTAGCGGGCCTGGTGAATCCCAAGGATCACCGCATCGCCATTCACCAACTATCGGGCAGTCATCTCGTAACTATGTCGACTCCTCGCGCAGTATTACGCTCAGCAAGCGCAGTCGCGCGTCTAGAGCCATGTTTGTCGTGCCGATCGCGTCAAACAACTCTAGCCATCCGCTACAATGCTACGAGATATCCGATGGCCTCGCATTGGCTTGCAACAGGCATGCGAACCCAGAATTATTCCATCAACCGAAAATTGGATCCAAAAGCACGTGTTGAAGTTGATACTCGCGCTCGACTGGGCTTCTACACCATATGCAAGCAACAAAAAGTACTCAATATCGAGCCGCGGACGGCTCTGAGCATCTACAATGACTTCGTTGCGAAAACGAAAACAACTTCCCATAGCGACAACGTATTGCGGATAGTCGAGAGTAGGTTCGCGGCCCATAATTCCCTCTATAGATGGCACTGACATGAGCAGAATACAACGTCCGATTAATTGATATTACATCTCTTGCGATGGCCACATTCAAAGTACCCGATCTCAGCAATCCAGAGATAAGAGCTCGACTGCCTCCTAGTCAGCACAAAGAAGTCGCTGGTATGCTTCTGCAAGGATGTGCGCACGCAGGGGATCCTCTCGCGATCGTACACATCCTGACTGCCGTCTACCTTGGCAGTTTGGGCAACCAGCCCGCTCAAGAGATTGCAAGGCTCTTTCCACAGAAAGACATCGCCCAATACCGCCAGCTGCTCGACACGATTGACTTGCAGACCTTGGAAAAGACTCCAACTCTAGTAGTTGAAGTTTTGACTCTAAGAGGAATCTTCCTTGAGCAAGCAGGACAGAAGCAAGAGGCCATAAAAGCATACCAAGAAGCCATCAAGCCTTCAACTCTTAATGATCAAACTGGAAGGCCATTAACGCATGCGATGCAATTTCCCCTTATAGCACCCTGGAATGCGCTCGGTTATCTACTCAAAGCAGAAAAAGATCCGAAAGTACAGGCAGAAGCCCAGTCATATTTCCAGAAAGGCGCTCTCGAAGGTGATGATCCGCTTTCATACTACGAACTCGCAGCCTATGAGCCGAAAACAAGCGAAAAGTGGTTGCGGTATACGAGCAAAGCAGCAGCATCCGGTCACAGACAAGCCATACTGGACCTCACTGGCTTTTATCAAGAAGTGGCAGCATCGAACTCGTCTGTTTTAGAAAACGGTAGCATACGACATGCGCTCAACTGGTTACTGACCTGGAGACGTGGAAGCGCCGCGAAGCTTGCGCGAGAGTGGTTACATGTGGCGTCTGTCGTTGGACACAAACCTTCCATGTTACAACTTGCGGAGTATCACAAGTCTATTGGTCATGAAGAAGAATACAGGAATTATTTGCGTATGATAGTCGACTCTGACAGCGCGGCCCTTTACAAGGAAGAGGCACCACAGCTTGTGCAAGTTGCGAGGTTGCGGCTTGCGGGAACCCGGTAACAGCCAATACAACCAGTAGGAGACCATGTCCTGTATACTCCATTCTCTTCCAGTGTATCATGCGTGTTCGCCGCGCTCATGCGCGCAGCCTGGTATCGTTTCGGAAGCTACATTCATCTGAAGTGTCTATCAGACAATTACGCAACTGTTCGATGATTCTGCGCAAACGATCTCCACCCCAGATCGATCTCCTACTACGCATTAGACATACATATGTGTGTTGAAAGACATCTTGGTCATATCCTCGACAAAACGACTATCTCCGGATCTACCCCGGCCTACCCCACCTCGGCAGGTGAGCTACTGGCCTTCCTTATCTGGCACTCTGATAGTGGCCACAGCATCCGATGACTGCTTGAAGACTTATATTCATCGCCAGTATGATCGTCTATCTACTTAACACATACCATTCTGCATCTTCACGAAGACATTAAGCACAATCTACCATCAAAAATCGATCTTTGATCACTTCAATCTAGCATAACATCTATTCTCACAATCATGTCGTCTATTATCCCTCTCAACAGTCATCGAAAAGCCTTGATAGGATCACCTTCAAACTTCTGGTCGCACTCTACCAAGAATGGCTTTGACCTCACTCATCCCTCTACGCACTCGTCACCAACTACCGGGCCCACACAAACCATCCAGACACGAGCTGATGCCATCACAATCGATCCTTCGAAATCCGCCCTTGTCATCATTGACATGCAAAACTTCTTTCTCTCCGAAGCTTTCGGCCGCGGCCAAAAAGGTCCTGGTCACATTGCCTGCGAACAGTTGGTCAAGTACGCTATCCCAGCTGCACGAAAGGCTGGCATCAGAGTCGTATGGGTAAATTGGGGGCTTACAGAGGAAGAGGTCAAAGAGATGCCGCCAGCTGTGAAACGCGCATTTGGCTTCTTCTCCATTCCGGAAGATGCAGATTTCAAAGCCGACGACGCTTTTGGACACCAAGAAGGAAGCGTGAGCATGGATCGACATGGCAAAGAAAACCAGTCTTTCTACCGTGGTATCGGTGCTGACTGCGGGATGCTCAAGTTTCCGGACGGGAAAACCGTAGAGGGGGGTAAATTACTCATGCGCGATTCTTGGAACGCAGCGCTCTACCCTCCACTTGATGCCATGTATGTCGAAGGCAGCAAGTTGGAGAGTAGGCCTGACGTCTGGATCCATAAGAACAGGATGAGCGGGATGTGGGGTGCCACGACTCCACTCAAGGAGTTCCTGGATCAAGAGGGCATTAGGACCTTGTTCTTCACAGGTGTCAATACCGACCAGTGCGTGGGTGGAACCCTGACTGATGCATTCAGCAATGGGTACGACTGCGTGTTATTAGGTGATGGCTGTGGGACGACCACACCAGACTACGCACAGCAGTGTTGGGAGTATAACGCTGCTAGAACCTTTGGGTTCTGCGCCAGCTGTCAACAGTTTGCCGAGGGCTTGGGTAACTCTTGAATATGTAATCTACGTATCTTCATTCGAATCCAGAAACCGACGTAGAAGGATGGTGAGTACAACTGTAAAGTCAATGGTCTCCGTGGTGACTCTTGAAAGAGTTCCCAGGAGCATCTGTGGGACGGTCTAATCCACACATAGCCAAGACCAGTCTGTCCACTTCGTCACCTCCACATCCTATAAAACCCACCTTTCCTGAGCCTACTGCTGCAAAGGCTACTGAAGCGAGACGTTCCGGTTGTTGTCGAGCACGGTATACGGCCTGTTCTTTAGGTACGCCTCGGAGCAAGAGGCCTTGATTCTGCAATATTGAGGAGAGGACCGTGGTACGCAACAAACCAGGATCATTTCCCACAAGATCAGTAAGTACGTTGTTAGTTGTTACTAACTCCCACGGAAGTTCGAAGTGGTCCTTGAAGAGAGCCTCGAAGGCGTCCACTTTATACATTGGCCAATGGAAGTATCCCGTGAATATTGTAGTACAGCCGTTTCTGGTTCGTTCGATCAAGTGATTACGTAGCGTGGTGCTCGGTTCTTCGTTCTCCAGGATGAGATTGCTCTGGACTAAGATAGCATTTGGCCAGTCTGTACTGAGGCATTCGATAGCGTCTTCTACCGTTCGCGACTCGTGGACCGCTGCTCGTTGTATCAGGCGAGGCGCAATCTTATCTGATACACCAAATGCCGTGGATCGATCTCCTGCTAGTGTGATGACAAGAATATTGAGCATGATGTGCGAAGCCCTTGCCAATGTAACTTTGACTGTTCACGAAAAGCTGGGTCTGGAACTGAAGAATTCGAGAGCAGTAGATGGAGTCTTTTTATAATAACATAAATATGCGCTGAGCAATCCTCAGCTCATCAAACGAAGGGGCAAGCCACACATGATCCGGCATCGTGAACAATCAAGCAGGGAAGCAAGCTACCAGCATGTCGGATGGCCTCGTTCTTCAGTAAGTGTGGAGAAATGGGAGACGTCCACGAAGGCAAAATCTACTAGCTGTGTTAAACTACAACAATTGAGGTTCTACAGGAGTGGCGCTTCCTGATCAGACGATATCGCCCCGCCAAGGCCGCCGCGGACATCGGAAAAAGCCTCGGCTAAGCAGCGCGAACGCAAGAAGCAGCTCCGATGCTATCCCCCACCCTGGTTCTTCTACATCATTACCGGTGATACCCCCGAACCATTACGCTGCCCGGTGCTGAGGAGGAAACATACACACAATGTCAGGACTGAGGATATTAGTGCCCGTCAAGCGGGTCATTGACTATGCGGTACGTCCATTACACCAACACATGGACATGGCGCATGCATGTTCGACACTTGAAGGCTTGAAAGAATGGCTCCGAGGATGAAAGCACTCAAGCCGGCCGTCCCAACAGCGAATGGCACTGACACCACGATCAGGTCAAACCCCGCGTCAACCGCGCCCAAACCGCCGTAGAAACCGCAAACGTCAAGCACTCGATGAATCCCTTCGACGAACTCTCCATCGAAGAAGCCGTTCGTATGCGCGAAAAGAAGGCCCACCACGCGAATGCCCCCAACGTAGAAGAGATCGTCGCCTTCTCCGCCGGCGTCCCCAAATCCCAAGACATCCTCCGCACAGCCATGGCCATGGGCGCAGACCGAGGCATACACGTAGTCGTAGAAGAGAAGGACGCCCTGGAACCACTGGGCGTCGCGAAGCTTCTACGGAAAGTAGTAGACGAGCAAAAGAGCAATCTTGTAATCCTAGGCAAGCAAGCCATCGACGACGACGCCGGCCAAACAGGACAGATGCTCGCAGGCCTCCTCAACTGGCCGCAAGCAACACAAGCCTCCAAAGTCACAATCAACGACCAAACCGTCGAAGTCGTACAAGAAGTCGACGGTGGTGTGCAAACAATCAAAGCCAAACTTCCCATGGTCATTACCACGGATCTGCGCCTCAACGAACCCCGATATGCTAGTTTACCCAACATCATGAAGGCGAAGAAGAAGAAGCTGGACAAGAAGAGTCTTAGCGACTATGGGCTGGACACCGAGATCAGACTGAAGACAGTAAAGGTCACCGAGCCACCACCACGGAAGGGTGGTGTCAAGGTTGAGGATGTGGATGGCATGATTAGCAAGTTGAAGGAATTGGGTGCTTTGTAAAGAGCATGCCTATGTATCAATATTCCAAAAAGACTGAAATACAACAAAAACGGACAGATGCTCGCAGCGCTTTTGCGGCTACAACTTGTCGCCCCATATATTGTCCCCCAAGACCTCACGATCCTCCAAGTCCAGCTTCCCATAGCCTGGTTCCAGCTTCCTCACCCTCAGATCCTCCTCATCCTCACTACTGTACTGCACCTTCTCTTTCTCGAGGTACTCCTTAACTCCATCGCTGTCCTCCTCGCTCCGCTTGACATACCCACCAGTGTAATCGTGCGACTTAACCCTCTTGACACCCACCCAACCCAATCCCTTCTGTAGCCTGTCCAACTCCTCCAACTCCTGCTCGTTCAGCCCCTGAGCTCTTTTCAAAGTCAGAAGGGAGTTGATCCTTTCCGAAGTCTCCAGGTAGGATGACCGGTCTTTCTCATTCCATTTGGCGCTGTATACGTCTGGCTGTTCGAGATCGACGCGTATTACTTCCCACCAGTGAGATCGCATGGCTTGCGAGAATGTCCCGTCGAGGTTTTCCTGCCTTGAATCGATGCGGTAGAATGCTGTTGTGTTGCCGTCCAAGGGATCCGTCCAAGTCGCGTTTACCTTCTTCTCCACGTTTCCTTCTTCGTGCGTGTCCGTATTGGGATTACAGCCTTGCAACACGCAATCAGCCAGCTTCTTATCCGCTGCTTCTAGATCATTGAACCACGCGACAATCTCGACATATTGCTCCGAGTTTTTGGGGTATTCTAGTTCAATGTACCATTTTTCTGCGAGCGTGGTACCGGACATGGTAACGCCAATACTAGGGTATTCATAGTTGATGTGATCGTGGCCGGTCCACTGAGAAGGAATTTTAGGTAGTTCGGCGGAGGCGACGCGGAATGAGGGTTTGTCTTTGGAACGTGAGTGGGAATGGATGACTAGGTAGACGGAGTTGACAGACATTTCGGGTTTTGGGCAACTCTTTGACAGAAGGCTCGGGATAGGAGACGAATGTACTTGTAATATAAATTAGGCCTCGAGATGGACAAGCTTTGTGTAGAGTGGCCCTTTTTGCTAACAAACTAGCACGGTTGCGTGAAAGCATGCCTCAATTTTTGCTACTACCCGCTGCCACCTAGGTTTGATCCATATATGTCCCTAGTTTATCCTAGTTCCCAAAATTGACAGCGACAACCTCCCACCAATACCTAGTCATGACACTCTTAGTCCCATCATCAAGCGTCATCGGCTGATGAACAACGTAAAAAATGCTATCCATCATGTGATCATTTAGCTCCGAAACATCCCATAGAGACTTTGGAGCTCTTGTCACCTTGATACTGGCTGCCCTGAACCCGTCTATATGCTTCTTCGCTTCATCGACCAGGAGCTGCTGAGCGACGTCCTTAACGGGGTTGTGGCCAGAGATTCGTACGTCTTCCTCGCAAGACTTGCTATGGGCTAACTTCGTCTTCCACCGCCCACCGTCTGCAGCTACCACTTCCACTTCATCGTATGTGTTGTCGCGGTCTTCAAGCTGGGCGAAATCCTGATCATGCCGGATCTTCTCCGCCCAGCTGAACGAGGGTCTCCTACGTTTTCCATCCTCCCTAATCTGCTGAGCAGTACGGAGGTGGAGCTGGAATCTGAGAACTATGTAGATGATTTCTGTAGCCATGATTTCTCGTGACAACTGGCGGAGATGAATAGAGGGACTCTGTATTACTCATGAACTCTTTTATACGTCTCTGGCTACCAATGAGACCGCTGATGCTAGTCGCGTGGAGGAGCCGTACTACCAGACTCCCCCAGATCACGAGGACTGCGCAGCAAAGAAACTGAGGAAGCTTCCTGTGGTAAGGCCGCCAACCAAAGATAGCGACATGAAGCTTCCTGCTGCCTCAAGTTCTTCTGGTTCAACCCACTCAGCGAAACCCATCATACAGCTGCTACCCAAGTAGCCATTTGTTATGCCAAAGAGTAGCTGTACAATGAAGAGATAGAAGAAATCGGAGTTGACGGCGGCGCCTTTCCCACCAATGTTGCAGAGGAAGTACAAGGGTATGAAGAGTACACGCGCGATGGACAGAAAGAACAAGAGGCGTGGACGATGCGTAAGACGAAGGGCAGGTAGAGCGGGTCCCACTCGACCCATGAGGTCACCAAGATTCCAGAAGAAGAAGCCTAGAGGGATGAAAGTTGCTGGTTGGAAAAGGCGAGGAGCCGTTGCTGGATCGCGTACGCTTAGTACTTGTGGCGTGAAGACAGGGAAGAACATGGTAATTGCAAAGGTGATGAAGACAGCGCCGGCGAGCCAGAAGAGCTTCTTGAGCATGCGCGTCAGCGGTACACTCTTGCGCTCGTTGTGCGTTGGGCCGTATTCGGGTCCTTGGTCGTACGATGCTTGTGACAGGCGCTGCTTTGAGCTAGCCCTGGAGAGGAGGTAGAAGAAGGCTACCAATGTTGCAGCGGAGACAGCCGTGGCGGTCAAGAAGTAGATGAAAGCAGAGGTGCTAGACTCTTGCGGCGCTCCGTCGGTATGCTGCTTCTTAGGCACAGACAGAACCGATATGATCTGGGTGATGGAAGGCAAGACACCGGCAATGCCTTGACCAGACATGATTCCCTGGGTATATTCCTCTCTTCCAAAGCCCGATACATATGCAAAGACGCCATTCTGGCACAAGCCTGTGGCAAGGCTAGCGCTCAACACCATGATCATGAGGAAAGCGAAGTAGACACCGACGGATATGTTCAGGAAGAACTTTGTGGATATGGCGAGAAGGGTGAAGACGACAGCGTTCAAGGCGAGCGATGCGACGATGCGTTTGGGGTAGTTGGCACGAGCCTGGAGCTTGGTCAAGACGATCATGGAGCCGAGGTTGCCTACGGTGGAGACGCAGAGGATGGAGGACTGGAAGTTGCGGAGGAGGTTATCGTTGGACTCGAAGCGTCGCTGGAAGTACGGGGCTGCTGCTAAGAACATGTTCCTAGTGCAGTCAGTATCATGTCTGCAGTCATGTCTGAGGTACCCACCAAGCCCATAGCATCGAGACACCCAACAGGGTGAAGACAGCATAGTCCGTCCACGAGAATGCCTGATCCTCGCGCTCGATACGCTCGCCATCTGGCCGCTCAGAGCCTCCTTCTAGTGGCTCATACGATGCCGAAGTGTTCTCGCGATCGAATATCTGGCGGATGCGATCCATGATGGGAGGTGTCGTCGCGTTCGAGGTGCTCTCGGGGATGTACTGCGGAGTTGCGGAGATGCCGATACACGTCTACGAGGAAGAGACGTCTTGAAAAGGAAGACGAATACTGTACGGGTGGATACAGGCGGACATGTTCAAGCCGTGTCGGTGCTAGTAGGACTCATGATCATATCGCGTGGGTGAGCTCGAGAGTCGACGGGTGACACGCGGGTGTAGATCGCGCTAGTGGACTGGGGCTCTGCCTGCGCGGCATGTGGAATGCTTTGATGTCACCTCCCCGCGCTGCCCCTCCGATTCGCTGCACCATCTCACCACCAAATACTTAGCTGCGAGCGTCAAATAGACCAGACGTATTTTAGGACTACATCTTCTTTCGTTGCTACGAACATGTCATACCAACTCCCACCCAACACAATCTCCATCAAACGGAAGCGCACCGATGCGCCTGTCGACTCTCTTAGAATCGAACACGCCGAAAAGGACATCAAGCGACAAAGAAGCAGCGACTTTGCATACAAGCGTCTCACCAAGCCGGGCGACGATGTCCAACAGGAATCAATACCACCCACGCCAACTCTCGCGCGCCGTTTTCGCCTTGATCCTGTGTCCAGGATTGGTGCAAAACGGCATTTCGTAGAGGAACAAGAGGTCACCAAGGAGAACATCCCAGCAGGCGGACAAGTGCAAGCACCAATACCAGAACCCACACCAGACTCTACACCGCGACCACGAAAGCGGCCAGGCGCCGGCAGTGCACTACACCACTCCGCCAAACCCTCGATACACCGGAAACCACCCGTCACCGAGCCCTCGGAAAACGATGTACGCAACCTGGAAGCCCTGTCAAAAGAGGTGGAAAAGGTAGACAATCTCGAAATACCCCTCCCCTCGCCTTCGAAACACAAGCCCAAAGTGCCAGCGAAACGCTTTGCAGAACGGCACCCGGACAAGGCTGCAGCCCTCGCAGCCCAAGATGGCACAATGGCTGATGGCGACGCCATGGATATTGACAGCGAATACGTATACGACCACTACGTCCGGGAACCCGTTCTACCAGACGCCCCCGCCCCGACAGGCACAGTCGGTCTTCTAGTTATCAGCGAAGAGGATGCAGACTGGTGGGACAACGACGAGAACAGCGACCGAGAGTTCGACACGGATGACGAAGACGAAAATGCAGAGGATTACTACGCCAACGACTATCCAGAGGACGAGATGAGCGACGACGACGAATTTGATCGGAATCTGTACCAGTCCAAATACCGCCATGGGAGTGACGATGAAGAATACAATATTGGAGACGACGACGATAATGCATTGGCAAGCGGGGAGGATGAGGACGACCTGCATTTCAAGATGACGGTACCTAAAGCACAGAGAGTGGGATATTGGGGTATGCAAGGGGAGTCATAACATGGTCGTCTACTAAGACACTGTCCGCTTTCGCCGCACATCAGCCATGTTATTTTCTAACCGTCTTTCCCTAGAAGCATTCCCAGTATCTCGTCAGCATTAGAGCAGAGATCAGTCCTCTGCAAAGGTCAAAGGAATGCCATTGATTACAAGTGATGAAATCACACTATCAACGTCTAATACTCCTGGTAATCATAAAAAACAGAGAGGGTATCATGTCAAACTCCCGACCCCAAATAATACATGAACCAAACCCAAGGGTACATTCCATAGCCCTGCCGAAGCGTGCCACCCCATGTAAAACCATCATGTGAAAGTCATGTCCCATCCGTGAACGCCACTGCATCTCCTTACGCTTCGATTCCCATGCCCTCCCATGGATTGTCAACGTTCGTCTTCGTAACCTTTTCCTCGTCATTGTCTTTACCCGTAGCATAGGATGGCTCCTCCAACATGGCTTTTTTAGGAAGAAGAGCCTCCTCCTAGATGGCGCTAACACTCGCTATACTGCCCTTCCGCTGTTGGCCAGGTCCGGGTAGTTGTCCAGGGAGTATCTGTCGGGGTCCGCCTGTACCGATAGCACTTGGCCTCCTGCTCCCTGCTCCACCATCCAGACCAGCGCTCAGCGGTGCGCCGAATCCAGCGCTTTGCGGAAAGTGCTCATTGGTGGCACTCAGTGGCGCGCCCATCATACCGAGTGCCATCCCCCGTCCAGTGCTCATATTATCACCACCCGAGAACATGGACCCGCCTCCGCCTGGGGGTGCGCCAAGTGCTGAGCGGATCATGCCTTTCATGCGGATGTATTGGTATTTCGAGCGTTGCGAGGTATGCGTGTATGTTGCCATGGGCCGTGGCCGGTGTCGAGAGAGGGCAGCCATTATAGAGTCTTTCTCTTCGTCGGAATCAACAGCGCCCGAGGGCTCGAGATCTTCGGGGAGGGGCGCGTTGGCATCAATGAGAGACCCTAAGAATATGTCAGTATACAATGTCTCTAGCTGGGTGATCGTGGGATACAGACGTTGAATCTTAGCCTGGTTCTTCTTCTGATATTGCGCCAGCAACATGTCATATGGTAGACTTCGTCCTGGAACGGCCCTCTTCAGACCCATGCTATGGCTCTTGCAAGTCAGACTTCTTGCGCAGTATCCGCCGTTTGGCAGGGAGACACCGCACTGCCTCTCAACATCGACTGGGCCTTTGGGCTTTGCTCCCTTCTGCTTGGGTTCGTCCTTCTTCTTCTTCTTGGCGTTCGGCGCCTTCTCCGCGTCTCCATCAAGTTTCCGCTTTTTGCCCTTCTTTGCGCCATCGCCGTCTATCGAGGCACCCTTGATGGCT